AGCAAAGATTTGTTAAAACCATGTAATTCGGAATATCTTTTTTCTTGTTTCCTGTGGTATAGGCAGCTTTTTCCGATTTCCTGCAGAGAAGTTCTAGAGATCTATCCAAACATGTTAAAGTTGTTGTAAGTATTGGACATAATCAATTCGTTTCATTTGCATGTAAATGTAAATATCACAAAAATAAGCTCTGGGGACCAGTTTAGGTAGAGATGAATCCCTGGACTGCACGTCGTTTAGAGGCCAGTTCGTGTGGTTCATTCAGCCCACATGCATGAGTACTTGTCAAGTGTTGCCACTGCCTTTGTTGGGTATAAAATTTCATAGAAAAACTAGTTTTAATCCTGAAGACTTAGTCCTGTAAGATGAAGGTAACATGTGCATATTTGACCAAGCAAACACAAAACCTTATAAGAATTCTTCACACAAGACAGTTTGCTTTGCTCTCTGCATTTTTCTTGTTGTTATTTGATTTATCCACAGTGAACTTGTAGGCAGGAATGTATTTGCATGCAGATGTTTTTCTTTATGTGTTCTTGAAGGGAGAAACTTTGCAAACTGCTGCTATCCTAAAGAATAGTCCCCTTTGATATAATAATAGGTGTAAAAAATTTGATAAAACACTATATATTGTAAGTTGTACATCTTTATTTTATTTGGTGAATTGTAAGAATTGCTGACTTATTTCTCAGGAGAGAAAAGTAGGACATTTAACAAATGATTTCTATTCTGAATACAGTAATTTTTATTGTAGCAGTTTTCTGCAATGCAACAACACTGCTTGCAATTATTCTATCATATTCTATGTTTTTGAAGTTGTAGTTGCTTTCAATCCTCGGTATTAATAAATAAGATGTCTAAATGTTTTCTTCACTGGCATAGGCGTTGAGGAACTCATTTAAGTCATTAAATAAATCTGATCATTTTCTGTTTGCTCTGTAGTTGAGAGTGTCTGAAAGCACCTTCAGTCACCATCTGGAATTTGAGTTTTCAATTATCGTGGAACATATTTTATTTAGGACTGTAAGATTCCCTAGAAACAATTTTTTTGAGAATGCTTGTGAAAAATAGGCAGCTGGGAAAAGAATGTGGGTACCTAGCAATAAGCTTGACTAGTGCAAAATCATTTATGATTTTGTTTAAAACTTCAACTAAAGAAATCTTTAGAAATTTGTAGCAGAGTAGGGGAATGTTTTATTCCCTTTTTCCAAAGAGAAGGCTAGGAGGGACTTCTGGGACAAAGGAGGAGACATCAGATGGAAGATCAGGCTTTGTTCCTTTAAGATGGAGATGACAATAATCCTGGTTAGTTTTAATCTTTTGACATTTGGTGGCAGTGGAAAAGGAGAAGGAAATTGAAGGCTTTTCTTTGATGACTCAAAAGACATCACTGCAGGGAAAGCATTCCTTGGTGCAGGAAGCTGCAAGCAAAGGTCCTGAGGCCATACTGTGGGGACCTTTGAGACAAGGGTGTTGGCCAAACTCCAGGCAAACTATTTCATCTCAGAAGTCCCAATCCAAGTCTGTAAAATACCGAATTTGTAAGGGCACATCACTTGCTGTTGTCTTGTGTTTTCTTGGTCTGTACTTACAAACACATCTTACATTTATGAGACCTTATTAACTATTTACACCCGAGACACTACCCTCACTCCATAGCAAAAATAAAATGGTCTGTTAAGATATTGATTTCTAATAAATAAGTGCCTTTTCTAAAACTTGCTGTATGCATATAGTTTTCATGTTGTTCACAGCATTATGATTAATATTTTCAAAATAAAAATTATTTCAGAAAAGCAAAAAGACATAATGTCATGACTTAATTTGAAGTCATGGTGTGGTGAATGCTGCTGAAGCTTCATTCTTTGTAGGTGTATTTTTATATTAATAGGAAACACCTAAACATCTAATAATAATACAGTAAAAATGAAAATCATTCCTTTGATTGCTAGAGCAAAGCGAAAGGTGTTTGGGTGCAGGCCCCGACAGCTGGGGCCAGCCCAGGTATCACCAGCTACTGGCAGGCGTGATAATAGACAATCACCTAAGCAGAGTGAGGAAGCACGAGGAAGAACAGCATAGTGCATTCTGTCATCAACCCCAGCTACCGGTGGCCCCTGTTTTGGTCCTCTGACAACTTCAGAACTCTTGCCTTTTTTCTCTCATTGCAGTGTGATGGAACAGATCTCACCCCTAAGATTCAGGAACTGAAGTTCCAGTGTATAGTATTTTTAAATATCCCCAGGTAAGCTCCGTGCGTATTGTCTCTGTGGTCTGATGTAAACTCTGGCTTGAGCCTATCTGCTGCCTTCCACACACGGATGTTTCAGGTACAACTGGTGAAATATAAGTTCTCTTCACATATTGGTAGAGGTTTCCTGCTCCAAATGTTTTCCCTCCTACTTGGTTCATTGTGTGCTCACTGTGGTAGGTGGTTGTGTTTGCGTGATGTGAATTCATGGTCTGGACTTGCCCAGCCTTAAGAAACCCACTTGCTTCTCTTGATAGGAATATTTTCATTTCATTCTCAGTCACTGCCCTTCTCCACCTCACCGGTCTGCCTCCAAGAATGATAGACATGGATACATGAAGACCTGTTACCAGTTTTCCCAAAGTTGTTAGGAGACCATCCTGCCCTGTGGATCTCATTCCGGATGACTGCTCTGAAAATCTAGACTCAGAGTAGCATCTTGTAGCCAGGATGTCAGCTCTCTTTAGCATTATGTTCTTCAAGTTAAAGGAATGCTTTTTAGGTCTCAAAATAGTACTTTTTGCTTTGTGGCATAAACTGGACTGCAGGCACAGAAGCCAAGCTTCTGGAAGGAATGGCCCTGTAGTCCTTATTACTTGCCTCCCAAGCAGTGTAAACAGAAAATATATAACTAAAGCCCACTTATACTAGGGTTGATTGAAATGAGGGTCCAATGTAAATTTACATGTAGGAAAACATCACATCCACCCAGGTGCTCCCAGCATGGCTCCATAGAGTTAGTCAATGTCATCCCAGAGGTGTGTGCAGTTTAGTTTCAGGGGACAGCCTAGAGCCATGCAAAATATTGCCAGTTAGGGTTTTTTTTTT